TTAAGTCACTGAAAAGCTAGTCCTTCTCAGTAAAAGGCTGATTAAACCAATCTCTACAAAAAATATGTACACATGAAGATGTAAAAAGAAAAGTTAATTGCAGATGAAATTAGTTTTTAAATAAAATTGTTTGCTTAAATAAGACAGCAAACCTTTAGCAAAACAAATGCAAAACATCTTAATCCGGATCTTTAGGATTAGACAGTAAACCTTCTTGCAAAACAAATGCAAAACATCTTTGATCCCCATCTTTAAGATTTACCACAGATAAGTAACATGATTTGAGCCTCCATTTTGTTAGAGATATGAACTGTTAAAGCTAAATAGTTGCTATTATTTACAGCTTTTAAATGATCAAAGGTGATGGAATATTTACAACCTGACATTGAGTGTCTTTAAATAACTTTTGCAAGTACTACTGTTTTAAATTTACTTTCTAAAGTTGTTTTATAAGTAATTATTAAGTCATTTATTTTACGTGAAAGCATAGATGAATGGGGTGGTTTATGATTTTTTATTAGAAAGATTTGAACATAATTTTATAAAACCCTTACCAGATATTTTCCTGTGTTCATTTGAGGTTATTAAGAATTGAATCGAGGTTTGTTTAGAAAATCATAAAGCTTTGTTTCATTTTTTTTAAACAACTGCTTTTAGAAGATCTGATTTCAACTGTTTTTTTGTTTGTTTGTTTGCTCTGCTTCAGCTTGAGTATGAAGTGCCTTGATTTTTTTCCAAGTGACTCCAGAAATGTTATGTTGTACCAGAGTTTTGCAAGCTGAAAGTGGCTTTACATGTTTTACAAAAATAAAACTGACTTTTTACTTCAAAATGCGACTTATTAACTTCTGCCATTGTATAAAATTGAAATCTAGTAGTTTAGAGTTTTAATTAAGAGTTTGTAAAAAGAATGTCTTCTAATTTAGTTTTCTTACAAGCGCAAGAAATCAAAATATTTTTTCACTATGTCAAATATGTCAAGACAATTTATTAAAAAAAAAATTTTTAATTCAATTGCTCTGAAACTTAATGTACAAATATTAAAATATGTGCTTTGTAAAAGAAAATTAGTCTTTTAGTAATGGTTAGAGCCCCAACCATTAATTTTGAAAGTTTGATAAGAAACCTTAATTTGGATATATGAAGATTTTTTAAATCGAATCTTGAATCACTTTTTTGATTCTATTTGATTTGTATTTTTGAAGCTTCCCAGGACCCTGTTATACCTTGTTTGACCAAGTTCTTAAGTTGTGGTTCCTCTTGTTTCAATTTATTTAGAGTCATTTTGTACTGTCAAAGGGGTCGTCTATAAATTACATCACGCTTAGGGGGAGGGTAGGCGATTTTGTGACGATTTGATACAAGGGAGAGGGGGTCTCAATTTTGTGACACAACATTTTTTTTTTTTTAGAGAAGACGTTCTTTTAATTAAAAGAGACCAAACCAAAACTCTCAGTTGATGTATCTACATGTTGATTGTGAAGTTAACTACGCCTAAATCTTACTTAATTAATGTGTACACTCTGTTACAGCCTGTTAATGGGCTGTTATTGCTGTTTGTGCAGTGCACGTTCTATGCTTTGAATTTATATGGTTCAAGTGCAGAACTTAATTTTGTTGGTGCACAAAAATGGCATCAACAAAAAAACAATCTTTGTGCAATAACTGAAAAAAAAAACAAAAACTTTTTGATACCAAGAAACAAACCTAGAACCCTTGGTTCATTAGCCAGAGGCAGAATCCACTCGACCATGCTTACGTTGCTAATTGGAAGAAAATTGTATTTATAAATTAATATTTTTGCATGTATAATATGTTATTATTTATTATGTATTATATATATATATATATATATATATATATATATATATATATATATATATATATATATATATATATGCATTGTGATGAATAAAAACTGTGCGATGCATAAGCACGACGTGATTTTTGACGTCATTAAATTCTTTTAGTTTGCTTTTCATATTTATCGACATTAACTGCACCAATTTACTTAATTACCGCAAAACTACTTTAAATCATTAATGTAGAAATGTTATTATTTAAAAATGTTTTGGAATGTTTCGTTTTTTAAAATGTAAAAACATTTGTTTATTTTCTCGACGTTTGACACGTTTTGTCTATACTAAACGAATAAAAAACATAACTAAACATTTAAAAAAGATTATAAAATATGCTAATATTTGATTTTTTTTTCTCAAATATGTAGTTTAAAGTTTTTCAAATAATTATTTTTTCTTTTTAAAAAGTCAGCGAGTAATAAACTGGAAATTTTAATATTGTACGATTAAAAACTGTGCAATAGCTAATATTTTTACTAGCGATTTTATATAATATTTATTTATTTTTATTTATTTTCATAAAGCGGTTAATAAGCACAATCACTCGTATTGCTAAAAAACTTTAACGAACGTTTTGAATAGATTTTTAATGTTTACAAGGAATTTTGTTTTTAGTACAATAAAATAAAATGTTAGAATAAAAATCTTATAGGTATAATACATTTCAGCGAAAAAATTATTCTTAAAAATTATTCGAAAAACTATTGACGTTCTATTTTTCAGCTGCTGTTCTTGAGCAGGTTGAGTTTCGGTAACTTTTAACAAAAAAGCAATTTATTATTTAAGTATTTTTTTTCAAGTTACTTTTTACAAAAATTTTAATAGCTGTACTTTTTTATTGAATCAAGTAGAATACGTTTTAATATTAATCCTTTTATTTTTTTTTAATTGCGCTTACTAATTTTTAAAATGTTTCCTCGAAATTACTCTTAAATACTTTAAATACGTCTAACAGTTAATAAACATTTTTAAATCTGTGGAATAATATTTAAACCTAACAAACCCCCGTAAAATAATTATTTAAGTTAAAAATCTAGTACTACAAGAAAGTATTTTTGTTCAATTTTATCGACATTTTTGCTATTGCTGAATAATTTTATTAAAATGTAAGCTTAAAAAAATTTAAACTTTTTTTTTAATCTGAATTTTTTCTACTTGTAAATAATGAGCATATTTAATTTTTTTGTAATTCAAACTTTTATATCAACTGCATGCGGTTTTTAAAATACTTTATTAAATGTTAAAACAATCGTAAATTACTTCATTAAAATTCCGCTCAAAATATCTTTAAATATACTCAAACAAAAATTTTTTTGCTCAACGCAAATAGCCCTAGCTACACGCAAAATCGCTCTTGGACGACGTAAAATTCACATCGCCCAATGCTCTATCGCAAGGCCTGTATATATATATATATATATATATATATATATATATATATATATATATATATATATATATATATATATAATATATATATAATATTTTGCATGTATTATATTTCGGAAAAATAGGTTCTTAAAATTGGTATCATGTTTAGGAGAGCGATGTTAATTTATACAATTTTACACGGAGCTATTGGGGTGAAAAAAAAACATTAACCAGACTGAAAAGTACTAGTTAGAAGAACTCAAAGAAGCTCAAAAAATTATAGACATTATATTTAAAATCGTTTTGTAAAATTTTGTACCCCCTCCCATCCTCTCTAAAAAAACTTTTAAAAATTTTTTTAGGGGAAGGAGGGAAAAAATTGTTGCATAATATTGGGGGGGGGGGGGAGGGTCAATAAAATGTTATGGATGCGTTACAAGGGGGAGGGGGGATGTCAAAAACTGGCGTAATTTATGGACGACCCCAAAATAGGCATCAAAACCCTTGTCTTTTGTACCAACATTTGTATTATACCAACTTTGTATGAATTGAAACTTTTATACCAACTTTGTATGAGTTGAAACAAAACCAGGTTTACTTTTTCTGTTGTATAAGTACACTCCTCCATAGCAGTTAATGACATCCATACCAATAACGACATCAATACCTTTAACTACACTTTTTACAATAATTTTTTGTTTTATGCTTTAAAAACTGTTTTTAGTTGTTTTTCTTTAATTATCAATGTTTATGTAACTTCTCCAATTGTTTTCGCAAGTTCTTCATTTACAGCTAATATCATGAGTTTTTTTTCTTCTGATATGAACACTGGCTTTCTAATCCATTTTGTTTGAAATAATAGTTTGTATACATTCACCATCAACTGATGATTTTTATGCTGAGTTGTTCATGCAAAGTTGTTCCTGCAAAGGTCTACCTGCACAATGCATATTGGAAGCGCCATTAATTTTTCAAGAAAGCGGCTGGTACTGGCAATTCCCCATTTGCGTTTCCCTGATGCGATGAGCAAAGTCTAGCAATGTGTTCAGTTTTTCCATATCACAAACATTTTGTCCCATTGAAAAACAGTTTTGAGCAACATGTCCAGGCTTGTCACAATTTTAGCAGTTAAAATCAATAGTGGATGATTTCTTAATGTTTTTATAGAATCCATAGATTGTTGTTGAGATATTTTTTGTTGCTTCTGACATGAGAGCTCTTGTTTAGTTTAATGCATTGTACAAATTGATCCCAAATATTTTCATTTACACTTGTAGCTGCTTAAAAATTTCACCAGGCAATCCAGTTATGTACACTCTTTTTATGTACAATAATTATTTTCTTTTACCACTGGCTAGCCTCTTAAGTTGATGCAAACTGGCCGAGTACACATTAACAGATTCACCTTCATTCCATTTCCGATCTCAGAATTGCTAGTAGGCTTTGACACCATTGACTGCAAATGTATCTGTCACAATTCTGTGAGAGGTCCTTAAGATCCAGTAGATGTTCTGTGCCCACTGGAATTCAGAATTAGAGTTAACTGCTAACCTGATAGTGTCTGCTGTCAGTAGTTTTAATCTTTTTTAGTTACAAAAGTCAATACAAATAATCAAAACCAATCAAATCAACATTAACTAATTTTAAATTTCATTCAGTAAACTGAATGAAATTTAAAAAATCTGTTTTGTATAATTGTTTTTGCCTATTATCAACTTTTAATTTTTTTATATTTATTTGTTTTAATTATTTTATATTTAATCTCTTTAGGATTTCATTGATGTTGTATTATCCAAAACTCAAAGGAAAACTCCCACTGTTGTTCATAAGTAAGTTTTTAATTTAATGAAACAAATGATAAAAAATATAAAATGTATTATCATGTTTTATTTTGTAAGAAAGATGGTAGGACATAAATAAAGCTTCATTGAAAATATAGTTCAGAGTTAACCATAAAATTATATATATATATATATATATATATATATATATATATATATATATATATATATATATATATATATATATATATATATATATATATATATATATATATATATATTAGGGTGCATCAAAAAAAAATTTTTTCTTGTTACAGGCTCTAAACATTGCTAATAGTTATTAATATTGATACTATCAAATATGAGAATGATTGTGATAGATTTAAAGGGCGCAACTTTATTGAAAAAATTACCGGTACCCAAAAGAAGCGAAATTTTATAAAAAATTTGAAAATAATAATCGTCTTATAAAAATCATATTGCTGAAAAAAATTGTTATTAAAAAACATGTAAAAATGCACCTTTTTCACTTTTAGTTAAAAAACTATAGTTATTATGCAATAAAATCTAAAATAATAATTTTTATATGAAAAAATTGTTTTTGAAGTTTTTATAAAATTTCCCTTTATTTGAGTACCTACATCACATAATTTTGAAAAACTTTTTTTTTTGAATAATAATAGGGCCTGCTAATTTTTGTAATCATAGTTGCGAGTCGAAGACATTGTTCAATCCATAAATACTTTCCTAAATTATTACATAAAAAAACAACTTTCTAGCAATGTTTAGAGCCTGTAACAAGAAAAAAAAATTTTATAACCCACCCTAATATATATATATATATATATATATATATATATATATATATATATATATATATATATATATATATATATATATATATATATATATATATATATATATATATATATATATATATATATATATATATATGTATATATATATATATATATATATATATATATATATATATATATATATATATATATATATATATATATATATATATATATATATATATATATATATATATATATATATATATAAAAGTGTAAAGATAATTTCAAAGTTTTTAAATGTTTCTTGGCTATATTTTTGTTAAAAAATAAAGTCAAGATAAATACATAAAAAGATATAAAAAGATATGAGAAATAAGTTTGCATAATGCTTGGAGAACAACTATTTTGAGCATATTTCTATGTTGACATTTTCTTTTAGACAATATCCTATAAATAGAATTAGAAGTTTCTATTTGCGAAAAATCAAATTTACACAGCAAAGTTATCATGATAAGCTAACTATTATAATTACAGATTTTCCAAGGATGGAGGTGAAATTTTTTTTTTATATAACTTTTAGGTTGGTTTTTTTTTCAATCTTTCAAAAGGGCAACTGTTGAGGTTTTTTTTAGTTGATTTTTAAAGGCTTTTTTCCCCTATTTTCTGTGTTCTTTTAACTCCAAAACAGGCTTGGACAGGAATGGTGTGCGATCGTACTCTGTAACTGACCACGCTAATATTTTTTTTTCTTTACAACTTGACCACGGCTATTTTGATGTTTTAACAATTTAAATGCAATAAAAAAAAGTGTTACATTATAAATAACTTTTAATCATTTACCTTTTGTAAAGTTTTTATTTTTTGCTAAGGCTTTAAATAAAACAATAAAAAAATAATTATAATGATTGTTTACACAATGTATAAATGTATATACCAAATGTATTACCAATGTAATGTATAAATTTAAAAAAAAATGTTGTATATAATTTTTTTTTATGTAGGCATGTATTTTTTATGATAAATTTAAATGTTTGAAACTATTTATCAATGTCTTCCTAAAAATATTTTTAACCATTTTTTTTAGAAAGAATTTTTTAAATAAGTTCAAGACCTTTAGTGACTAATAGCTTTTACACATTTTATGTAAATTATAGAAGAATATAAAATAACTTCATTTACTTATATTTTGTTGATTAATGGAAAAGTTTTGAAGCATTTAGTAATTTTCATACAATTAGTTTTTATAATTAAACTTATGTTTTTTAAAATCTTTTAAACAAACATTTTATTTTTTAAAGAATTTTTTTATTCAATTATGATAGGAATAAATGAATGAAAAATTTTTTATAGTAATTTTTTAATTCGTTACTTAAAGCATTCATTAATAAAGTTGTAATGCTCAAATTAAAATTAAATTAAGTTTGCTCGTTGGCAGTTTATTTTATTTAAACCGCAGGCGCATTTCATTTATTATTATTATTTTTTCCTGTTTTTACAAATAAAAAAAAGCGCAAATAATAATTTGACCAATGAGAAACAATTACAAAAACAAAAAAAAGTTTTAAAAAATGATCTTGATTCAGTTTTGTTGCAAGTTGTCTTTGCAGAAAACTTCTCAACTTTCTGGCAGGATGAAGTTCAGTCAGCACATTGGAACAAAAAATTAGTAACATTATTTACTGCTGTTAGCTGGCATGGTTAATTCTGTTGATTTGAACCATTCAAGAAGTTCAGTTATTTATTTTATTGACTTGTTAATAACTAACCTTATTAGAAAGGGTGTAAAATACTTGCAAGTTTAGTCTGATGGTCCTAGCAGTTAATTTAAAAATTGTTACATAGTAGCTTCAATTCCATGGCTCAAAAGTAAGCACAAAATTAAAATTTGCTGGAATTACTTTGCAACCTCTCATGGTAAAGGACCATGCAATGGTATAGGAGCAACCATAAAAAGATTAGTATCACAAAAAGTTGTTCGAAGTGAAGCTCTGATTAATGACGCAACAGTATTTTATAAAGCTGTCAGAGATGAAAGTAAATGTTTTTAGGGCTCAAATTAACGCAAAAAAATCTAATCCCAAAAAAAAAATTTTTTTACACTTTAATTAGTCAAAAAAACTATTTAATACGTTCATGCTGACGTTCAAACACGTGTTAATTTTAAAAAGTATTTAATTGTTAAAAGCTATAAAACAACATTAAAAAAAACTGGAAAATTGTTTTAAAAATATAAAGAGATTGGAATAATGTAAAACAAATTTGTGACGCTGTTTCGTTTTGATTTATACAGTTTATTAAATAAAACGAGTTTAAAATAAAAGGAAGCAAATAAATAAAATTGAGCTAGTTAATAAACTAAAACAAAACTTCATATTTGCACCTATAGACCTATACGAGTTTATAATCTATAGACCAAACGAGTAAGATCAAAGCAAAAAAATATTAGATACCACGTCTTTTATAAATTATCGTTTCCTCATCAAGCGTACTATTAAAAATTTAAGTATAATTAAGTTTTTTATTCAAAAGGTTTTTAAACTGATGTTTTCATTCAATTTTTTTTAATTCTAATTGTTTTCCAAAAAAAAGTGAAACAAAAAGTTTTGTTTAATAAATCAAATTATATTAAATATAAGAATATGCTTAAATAATTTTTTTAGAAAAAAATTTTTTCGAACAGAAGTAAAATAATTTATTAAATTAAATTTAAATTTTTTATAATTTTTATTTTAACTTGCAATTTGCAATCACTGCTTTGATGTTTGCAATAGAATGTTTTTACTTTTAAAACTATTTTCAAGAAAAAATATATAATTCAAAACATTAACAAAATTTACGATTTCCAAAAAAAAAAACTTTTTTCTCCCCTGTTTCATCAAACTTTTTTTTAATTTTTAAATTTTTTTTTCAATTTCAAATTTCAATCACAAAATTATTTGAATAAGTGAATTTTAAGGCTAAAGTTCTCTTGCTCAAATAGATTTCTTTTTAAATAAAATTCCTGACAACAACGTGTTTATAGAAAATGTTTAGTCTGGATGTCGCTATAAATAAAATGAAAATATAAAAAAATGGTGTCGCGTTTTTCATATTCTATTCGACAATTTTTGTTAAAATAATTCTTAGTTAAAAGCTTATATTATGTGTTAACAACATATAAGATCTAAATTGAAACATGTCTATGGCTAACTTTTGCGAGTATAGTAAATAAATTAATATAATTGTTAAATTAATACTTGAGTAACTGTAAGTTACTATCTTAACTTAACTGGTTGTTTTGATTTAGGTTATAAGTATATACAGTTATAATATGTTTTTAACAAACTTTTTTTTATCAAAATAAATTTTACCCTTTCTAAACTTTTTAAGATTCTTCTGTTTCTTAAAGTTTTCTTAAATATTTTATGAATAGTTCAAAAGGTTTAGTGGTTGTACATTTTTTCAAAATAATAACCGAGGCTTGTAATGTTTAGGCGTAAAGTATATTGCATTCAATTAATTTAACTAAGGTGTTTAATGCATTAGGCTTGAAATATATTGCATTTAAATTATTTATGCTTTTGTTTTATGTTTGTATACAAAATAGAAACACAAAAATGAATAAATAAATAAAAGTATTATTAAACCTTACTAAAGCTGATGCTTAAAAGGATGATGATTTGGGGAGTGCACACCTATATTTATATTCTTTTTTTGTAAAATGTCTATTTTTTTCATTAAATAATGTGATTTTATGAAAATATTAAATATGATTATTTAAAATTTGATATTTTTCTTAAAAGGATGTGCATCCATTTTATGCAGATTTGATGAATGTTTTATACGATAAAGATCATTATAAATTAGCATTAGGTCAAATCAACACTGCAAGACATCTGATTGACAAGTAAGTTTTTATAATTATTTATAATATTGTTTATTATTATTATTATTATTATTATTATTATTATTATTATAAATACTATTATTGTTATTGTTATAAATACTAGCTGGTATGACCCATACGATACGGGTTGTGGCAAGTCTAATCCACACCCGACAATTTCTAAACTTGTTCCTTAGTCTTTATTCTTTAATTTATTTTAGTAAACGGCAAAAAATAAATCAATTTAAAGTTCTGGTAGATTGTAAAATGCGAACTTTAATTGCGAACCATAAATCTATTGCTTGTTAAATAATAATTAATTTAAAAGAGAAGTTAAATTTAAATAAAATATATTGAATACTAATATATTTAATTTAAAAAATCGATGAGCAAATGTTTTTAATATCATGACTGTTGTGGTCATTAAAATGTCTTAGTTCGCTAAAAAGTACAGTTTGCATTTTTACTGACTACTTGAAATTCTTGATTTTTAATTTACTGTTCTATAAAACTAATATTTTTACTTATTATATTATTACTTATTTATTTTAATATTTTCTACATAGTAAAAGTATCTTAAACATATAAGACAGTTGCGTGAAACTTAGGCTAATATTTTATGATAATATTTTAACTCTTTCATAAGGATTTATTTTAAAAGCAAATTTGGATATTGAAAAATGGGCCCAAGAGACCAAGTTATTTCAAATAAGTTAGCTTTATCTGTTTGATATATTTTATAAAAGTCTTTCCGTTAAAATACTCTTATCAAATTCATACAATTAAACTGTTTTAACTGTGGAATTCGGCAAATAAATTTTTAAAACTGTTTGTGCAATTGATAGTTAATGGAAATGGAAACCATCTGGATCGTACAAAAAGTTATAAAAATATAAATGGTTTTCATTCACACATAAAAAGATAACGGAAATATAAAAAAGAAAGCAAAAATAGCCAATATATATCCATTTAAAACAATAATTCCCAAGACAAAAAAGAATTTATTGGAGAAAGAAACAAAAAATTTTCTTAAGATAAAATAAGAAAATTAGCTTAAAAAAAAAAATACAAAAAAATTTTATATTTAAAAATACTTATAAAAAAAATTTAATTTGAAACATTCTTTCATTATTTTATATCTTTTAGTAAATAGTATGAAGATTATAAAGCTTTGTTTTAGCTTTTTAAATACAATCAACATTCAGAACATTTCAGTCACAGGATAAGGAATACGAAATAAAAATGGAACAAAGTTATTATTGAATGCACTTAATACACATTAATTTGTGACAAAAATGTGACTAAACAGATAACAAATAAGAAACTTACTTTTTATTTACTTAAATATTTATTCAATAACATTTGTAGGCATCTAAATTAGCTTATTTTGTAAAAAAGTCAAATTTGATTTTTTTACCCTAAGGCTTATATAAAAATGATTACGTTTGGTTATAAAATAGTAATGTACAATAATGTAAAATGGTTATAAAATAGTATTGTACAATAAAAGCAATCAATGTACTAAGTCAAGTACAAGTATAACAACACTTGTTGAGCCAGAAGAAGCAGCTAGAGCTATATATTATAAAAATACAATAATAATACTACACTCTTGCTGTAAACTCACAAGCCAAGTCACAACACTTTAAAGCCATGGGAACAACATAACCACTTACACATAACACACATTGAAGTACTTTGTATATTACAGGAATTTACACATTTATGAAACAGAGTTTATGATTGCATCTAATTATTTAATATAAAATTTAAAACCCTATAAGTGATACAACAGATGTTACAGATTATAACAGTGTTAATAAAGATTTGAGGATACATTATCCTGTGGTCAAAAAATACAAAGTGATATATTATATGGTCAAGTGTAACAATACGCGCAAATGAGTAACACATACGATTGAGTAACACACACAAATGAATAAGCAGCATTAAATTAAACATTAATTATATAAGACTAATTAGTTTGTATTTAGGACTAAAAGTTTGTCTAACAGCAAACCTATAACTATAATACTGGGACAAAGTAACACGATGCTCCAGTTAATTGTGCCACCATCATCATTTTTCTCTTTGACCATGTTTTTAAATGCAGAAGCAAATGGGTTTTCTTGATTATTTAAAGTTTGTAAGAGTTACATTAACTCATTTATACAACCACCACTACCAGGATTAGGATCATATATATTCAACTGACATGAGACATGGGTAGAAAACCTTCTTCAGGCCTTAAATTTCCAACAAGATGCAAAATTTGCCCATAAACCCAAAAACAGAAAGGACAGTTATTTGTGGGGTGAGGTATTTTGGCTGTGAAGGAAACAAAAGGTAAAAAGGGTTTATAACACCTGTCATGATATCTTTTATTTCTATGGCAGTTTATTTTAGCTCACCTAGGCTCATCACTTTCATTTTGGCGACGCACAGTGGGCGGAATTTCAAAAAACCTGGCCAAAAGTCAAAAAATGATTATAATTAATGGAAAATTTCTGTATAGCATTTTTTTGAATCCCCAACTTTGAATTTTACATAAGTGTACCAAAATTCAATAATGGCAGATCCAAAATGGCGGTGTTTTAAAAACATTAATCATTAGAAATGCCTTTGGGCCTTCGTGTTTAACCAATTAGTTCTAATTCGACATTTAAGTTCAATAGACTAATGTATTATTTACATTACATATATAAACATTATATATAATACTGATATATAATGTATTATGACCGTATTATTATGCCGCAATGTTAAGAAAAATAAATTGAAAAATTCATTATTTATTCTACTTATTTATTTGTTCAAGGAAAACAAGAAAAACTTTTATTTGCATCATTTATCATAATTGTTTCATTTATATGACTTTAAAGTAAATCACCACTGTCATCTGAATCATTTATTATTGAAATATTGTTGATAAACTCAATCACAGACGAATGAATTTCAGAGTTTAACTTTTAACCAAGTGTCATGTGTCTTCAAAAATATTTTTTTTTGTTCAGTTACTACTTTTCCATTTTATTTTTAATTTTGTCAATACATTTTTTAGTTTCTTTTTATCATCTGTTGAAAATTGGAAACAAATTTTTCTTCTTAGACACAACTGTGATTGCAAAATATCAAGCTGGTCATCTAGATCTGAAGATAACTCGGTTTTTAAAATTTCAAAAATTTCAATTCGAGGAATTTGCAAATGATCTTTTTGTGAACCTTAGATATTAATTGAAAATATAATAATTGAAAAAGTCATAAAAACATTATAACTTTACTAAACTAATTAAAAATAAAATAAAAAGTAATCGATAATATATTATTTTATATAAATTCGATATATAAGAGAAAGGTAAAATATACTGTTAATCATATGATTGTATATAGATATAGTTATTATGTTTTTTGAGAAACTGATTTTGTAAAATTAGTAAAACTATACAAAACTTGTCGTAGCTGAGGTAAAAAAGACGTCGTAACCGAGGGGGTTTATCCCCCCCCCCCCCTCCTCCTACACTCTAACTTTGTCAAAATCTCATTCATGTGTGCTACTAATTTTATTGTAGTTTTATTGCACTTAAAAAAAATCAGTTTCTCAAGAAACATCATAACTATATCTATTTACAATTTGACTGATTTTGTAAAGAAAACAAAACACCGCCATTTTGTTTACTAAAAAACACGACTAGCACTACACAATATAAGTTAATGAAGTAATAGGCAAAAATAGGTGCCTTTTCTTTTAACCAATCTTTAGAATACACTTTTATGAACAATATCCAAATTATAACTAAGCGGAATCTTGCGGGTTCACTACTTTTTCAATGCTTGAAAAATAGGTTAAAGAAAATAAATAAACTTTATTCTGTACTTTTTTGTTTGCACTTTTCGCATAAAATTTAGAGAAATAATATAAAACTTTTTACTAAAATATTATATAAATACCTTGAATAGTATCGTCCATAGTTAGTTTTTTAGTAACGATAAATAACTTTTTTGTAAACGATACTTATTTAACCACATTTTTTTTTTGCTTTTAAAACGCCAATTATGTGTTTTTAATAACAGATGTTTAACTGCGTAGATATAGGTAACTTTAAAATTTATACAATTTTTTCTTATACAATAAAATACAACAGGGCTTTGTTTATGTAGTTTCAAAATAATAAATTCAAAATAGTGATTTTTTTTTTTTGACTTTTGGCCAGCTTTTTTGAAAATTAGCCCACTGTGCGACGGTTAAATTGATTTTACCTAGTCTTTTTTCTTTAATTTCAACAAAGCCTTATAATTTTACTTCTTTAGTTATCAGACATAACTAAGCATCAAAGGAGTGTGTAAAAATGATGCCTAATATAATAAAATTTACACTTTTATTTCAAGATTAAACTTTTAGTTTTCTTTCTTAACTAATCTAAAATAGCAATGTGTAAAAATAAAATGTTTCTATAAAGAACTTAAACTAAAGTTATATATAAATTGATATGAAATTGATTAGTTGATAACTGAGTAATGTTATATATTTAATGTAGTCATTAATAATTATTGACAAAATATGATTAGTATTTGATCAAAAAAAAAACAATAAAAAGTAATTGATATAATTTTTACAGGTAAGAACACATAAAACAAATTGAAAAAATTATAAGGGCTGTCTGCTCAGCAAATACTGCTAGCAATAAACGGTGAAGTGTAATCCTTTATCAAAAAATCCCTTTCAATACTTTGCAACGCATTTAATGCAAGATTTGTAATTAATAAGTAAATACAAAACTATTAATAGTAAATACAAAATATTAATAGTAAATAAAAAACTGTTAATTTATGTATTTCATCATAACAGTACACCACTTAACTGGCATGGACAACAATCTTGCTCCTAACAAAGCCAAGTCATATTATAGCAAAGTACACCACTTGGCTAGCAAAGTCAACACTCTTGCTGAAAACTAAGCCAAGTCACAACAATTTGAAAAGATATTTACAAACACATAAATGATATTTACACACTTACAAAA